CCCCCTCCCTCCCTCATGAACCCTTGATCGATTATATGTTATCATTGTTATTTCGTGTCTTACACTGTCCGTTGTCTCCCTTCATCCACATTTCTGTTATTCGTCCTCCCGTGGAATGGGCTGTATATCCAACCTTGTGATGAGTCCCCCCCTCATGATATCACGACTCCCACTACTGAACCCGAGGGGTTTATCTGTCTTGAATTCCATGTGTCGAAAACGCATCTGTACCAGTGTGTGTGCTCTGGTCTAGTTGTATTTGTAAGGCAGAACTGGGTCATGATAGTGGAGGCGGGGAGGAAGCATTCAGGAACTAGAGGAATGTTGTGTGTCTAGTCCCTTCCTTGTAACCCTTCTGTGTGTGTAGGGAGGGATGTCCAATTTTTTACAGATGGGCTTTGGGTCTTCACTTGTATCCCCCACTTTCACATCGGATATAATTATTAGTTTTGGATCTTTTGATACCTGATATCTGACCCTGTTGATGCCTCATGATCACACAGGCTGGTAGACTTCTTCCATGTGGGCTTATTTGCTTCCCTGCTAGACGGCTGCTTGTTTAACTTCAATCTTTTAAGACCCCAGACGCTATATCTTTTAATAGCCAGGCACCATCTGCTTTCTTCACCACATTTGCTTTTGCACCTGCTTTGTCTTCAGGGATCATGTCAGAAAGGTATCACAGAGTGCCAGGTTATTAGAACAAACTGTTCTTGTGTTTAGGGAGGCCTTGAGTAGAGAGCCAAAGTCTGTCTGCTATCTTAATACTTAACAAGTAAATATATGTACATTGGCCTCTATCCCTTTCATTATAAATCAATATATTCACATATATACATGCCTGAATTTAGCCACTTTGTCTCTCTGCTCTGAGAGAAGGTCCTTGCCATCTTCCCCTGGGTCTTGGAGGTTCTCAGCACCGGGCCTTCAGATCTGAAGGACATACAGTGTCCTTGCTCTTCTTTCTTGGTAGAGGTAGAAGGTCCTTTCATTTCTGCTCACTGGTTTAGTCTCTTTCACATTTGAAAAACAATGGACTCAAGATGCAAGCAAGTCTCGTAGGTTGTAAGGTTGTATTCTGCCTCATTAACATCACAGAGGTTAGGGTTTATAGTACCTCGGATCATTATGATGTTCATATCATGGAGGATGGCTATGGAATAGCATGTGATGTAAAACTAGTGGGAGAAAGAAAGGGCTTTCTACTCCCGTGAAGAGTGGCAGTCTCGGACACCCACAGGGGCAGCTCTGTCTGTCCTGAGAGGGCATGGACATGATCTTGTTCAATTCACTATTCTATATCGTATATGCTTATTTATATTCGTTAGATGTTTAACAGTGTATGTGCTCATAATTACTTTTTATAAAAGAAACATGATTCCATGTTTATTAGCCCATAATTGCGGACTTCTAAGCTCCCAAATGATGCTATTTCTTTTGAACACCTTGCTAGGCAATCCAAAGCATATTTTCTCACATCATCTTCTCATATTTGTTGTGATCACGAGGCTGCTGCTGTGAGGGGCCTTTGCGTGGGCTCTGACACTCAGCGACCATCCGCACAGCACAACGAAGCACCCCCGGCCCTTTGCTAGCCTCACAGTTGCTGGTGTATGTTGTAGCCCGTTGTTGTAGCCACTGTGTCAATCCATCTGGTCAAGGGCCTTCTCTTATTCGCTGCCCCTTTCTCTCACCATGCTTGATGACCTTCTCTAGAGACTGAGCTCTCTTGACTACCTGTCCACAGAACATGGCAGAGTCTTGCCAACATTGCCTCTGAGGCAGCGGTTCTCAACCTGTGGGTCGCGACCCCTTTGGGGGGTCGAACGACCCTTTCACAGGGGTCACCTAAGCCCACCGGAAAACACACAATTCATTCACAATATAGAATTACATATTTTTGGTGATGAATCACTATGCTTTAATGATGTTCAATTTGTAACAATGAAAATGCACCCTGCGTATCCGATGTTTATATTACGATTCATCAC